AACGAAGATCGACGAGATACCGCAAATGGACCCGGCCAGTGACACCGTTGTCAACCCCAATAAACCCCTTTTAAGGCAATTCACAAGGCCAGCTATGTCGCGCACTACCAGGACGCCGGCACCGAAGACGGACTGGGAAGTCCAAGCTGTTGAAAACAGCGGACAGATTCACGCGGAGCCTCAAAGTTCGCCGGGATCCGAATTTGGCGGGTGCTGGAGTAGCAAGGAACCTTGTTTCGCGCGGCCGATGTTAGTAGAAGGGAGCGCCAGTGGGTGCACACAAGGAACGCTAAGTTTGGGCGCACAGAAGGAAGGTTGTGTTGTCGTTGAACGAAAGCATGTGCAGAACAAAGGGTAGTGGTGGATGCACCACCACACAATTCGGCGCAGCGCGACAAAAAACTGACCCCTATAAACATCGATTCTCACCATCGTCTAAGCGAGCGCGTGCGGTGTTCCATTCACTAGTGCAAGAGCTTATCGAACTCGGACATCTCCACTGTGCAGACAAGTAAAATGCAGAAATGGACGAAAGATCCCCCCTGCAACCCTTCCAAACATTGATTCGGCCAGTCGAGAAGGCGACCCCCGACTCTCGCGCCTGGAACGTTGACGGGAGACAGCGCGAACCGCGCAGCACGCAGAAACACAAGCATGTCTGCAACAATACTCCTCGCACTGCGATGGCCAAAACCTTTGGGGGGCAACAAAGATCGAGGGCGCAAAAAATTGCTCGCCTTCTGAAATGCCCTTGAAGGGGTTTATGGGGGTTGCCGACTGCGACAACGGCCGTGTCCCTTATTTTCGGCAACCCCCATGAACCCCTTCAAGGGTTTCTTAGAGGGCGATCAATTTCTCGCACCCGCAGTCCTATCGCAATCAACTCACACTCGAAGCTCCAGGCGTCATGCGAAGGACGAATAGATTTGCGCCGATCCTCAAAGTTCACCAGGATCCGAACTTGGTGGATTTTCCTGCATCGAGTAATAGGTTTTCGCACGGCTGAAGGTATAGGAACGGGTGGATGGCTTTCGCAGAGAAGCAGGCGATGCTCGGCCGCACCGCATTTGGGGGCGGCGATGAACGAAGATCCACGGCACACCGGAAATGGACCCGGCCAGTGACAGCGTCGTCAACCCCAATAAACCCCTTTCAGGGCAACTCACAAGGGGAGCACTTTTGAGCACTACCAGGCCGCCGACATTGAAGACGGACCGGGAAGTCCAAGCTGTTGAAAACAACGGTCAGATTTTCGCGGAGCCTTAAAGTCCGTCGGGATCCGAATTTAGCGGGTGCTAGAATAGCAAGGAACCTGTTTTCGCGCGGCCTGTGTCAGTGGAAGGTAGCGTCATTGGTTGCACACAAGGAACGCTTGTCGGTGAACGATAGCACGCGCAGAAGAAAGGGTAGTGGTGGATGCACTAGCACACAATAGGGCGCATCGCGACCCCGAAATGACCCCTATAAACACCGATTCTCACCATCGTCCAAGCGAGCTCGTGCGGTGTTCCATTCACAGGTACTAGTGCAAGAGCTTATCGAACTCCGACATCTCCACTGCGCAGACAAGAAAAATGTACAAAAGGATGGAAGATCCCCCCTTCGACCGTTCCAAACATTGATTCGGGCAGTCGAGAAGGCAACCCCCGATTCACGCGTCGGGAACGACGACGTGCAACAACGCGAACCGGACAGCACGCAAAAACACAAGCATGTCTGCGACAAGACTCCGCACACCGCGACGGTCAAAAACATTGGGGGGCAACACAGATCGTGGATGCGAAAAATTGCTTGCCTTCATAAATGCCCTTGAAGGGGTTTGTGGGGGTTGTCGACGGTGACAACGATCGTGTCCCTTATTTTCGGCAACTCCCATGAACCCCTTGAAGGGCATTTTAGAGGGCGAGCAATTTCTCGCACCCACAGTCCTCTTGCAATCACCTCACACTCGAAGCTCCAGGCGTCATGCGAAGTACGGTTAGGTTTGCGCCGTTCCCCAAAGTCCGCCAGGATCCAAACTTGGTGGATTCGCCTGCATTTGGAACGGGCGGATGGCGTTTGCATAGAAGCAGGCAATGCTCGGGCGCACCGCATTTCGGGGCGTCGATGAACGAAGATCCACGGCACACCGGAAACGGACCTGGCCAGTGACACCGTCGTCCACCCCAATAAGCCCCTTTCAGGCCAACTCACAAGGCGAGGAGTTTCACGTACTACCAGGCCGCCGGCATTGAAGACGGACGGATAAGTCCAAGCCGTTGAAAAAAACGGTCAGATTCACGCGGACCCTCGAAGTCCGCCGGGATCCGAATTTGGCCGGTGCTGGAGTAGCAAAGAAACTGTTTTTGCGTGGCCGGTGTCAGTGGAACGGAGCGCCAACGGGTGCACACAAGGAACACTATGCTTGGCCACACAGAAGGAAGGCTCTGCCGCTCTCAAGTTGTCATTGTATAACAGCACGCGCAGATCAAAGGGTAGTGGTGGATGCACCATAACAAAATCGGGCGCAACGCGACCCCAAACTGACCCCTACAAACACCGATTCTCACCGTCATCCAAGCGAGCTCGTGCGGTGTTCCGTTCAGAGTTACTGGTGCAAGAGTTCATCGAGCTCGGACATCTCTACGGCACAGACAAGGAAAACGCACAAATTGATGAAAGATCCCCCCTGCAACCCTTCCAAACCCCGATTCGGCCAGTCGACAAGCCGACCCCCAAATCGCGCGCCGGTAACGTCGATGTGCGATAGCGCGAACCGGACAGCACACAGACACACGAGCATGTCTGCGACAAGAATCCGCGCACCGGGACGGTCAAAACCCTCGAAGGGCTTTCTCGCCCACGGCACACTGACAAGGGACACGACCGCTATCACCGTCGGCAACCCCCACAAACCCCTCGAAGGGCATCTCAGAAGTTGAGCATTTTTTCACACCCACAGTCTTGAAGCTCCAGGCCTTATGCGAACACTTTTGCGTACCCGGAGGCCTCTGGTAATCAGAACACACTCGACAGTCGAGACCATCGAAAGCTGCAGACCTTATGCGAGCACTTTTGCGTACGTGGAGGCCTCTGGTAATCAGAACACACTCGACAGTCGAGACCGTCGAAAAGGGCGGTTAAATTTACACGGGACCTCAAAGTCCGCCGAGATCCGAACTTGGCGCTTGCTGGACTGGCGAGGAACCGGTTTGCGTGGGGGATGACGGATATTTGGATGACGGGCGTGGAAGTGCACAGAAGGAACGCTATGCGTGGCTGCATGGCCAGGGAGGCCGTGCTGCTGCTCACAAGTGTCTGTTCCAATAGAGCACGCACAACTGAAACGGTCGTCGCAGGTGCACCACGTCGGAAATCGGCGCAGCGCGGCCCCCAATAGACCCCCACAAACCCCGATTCTCCTCATCGACAAAGCGAGCACTTGCGGTGATCCAGTCGCAAATGTTTTGATCCGTGATGACAATGACTGTAAGCACAAAAAAAAAAAAATGACCTCTGGCTGGTGGACCCCCAATTAGTACCGCAGACAAGGCGAGCTCGCAGTCGGGCAATGGCAGGTTTCACAACCAGGATCACGCGATGACGAACGGGTGCCAACCACTAAGTCCGCCCGGATCCGAACTTGAGATCGGTTGTTACGTTCGACCGGGAGCATGAAACACTTTCCTTTTCTTGGGGTCCCATTGAAAGGACTGTTGTTTTTGCGGCACCGCCTCCCAAAGAACAATCATGTAACCAGGACTCTGAAAAGATCCATGCAAACCGTAAGCGTGCGATTTCAGCGACGTCGTCGAGACAACAATAATCATCCGAGCAGCTCGCGACTTCGCATGCTTGAGTTCTTAAGTCCACCGGGATCCGAACTTCGTCGCACGCTGACAACTGGCAGGGCGTTTTCATACCTGCGCGTGCTCTCCCTGCGGCGGGATCCGAACTTTGTCGCACGCTGACAGTCGCGTGTGAAAGCTTGCCGAAAAGGGAACTTCGGATGCCGGCGAACTACAACAATCATGCGCTGTTTTCATACCTGCGCGTGCTCTCCCTGCAACCGCGCGATGGCAATAGATTGCCGCTTTCGCGAGAGCTGTGCGCATGATTGCTGTAGTTCGCCGGGATCCGAACTACCCAATTCGCCAGGCAACAACACGCCACGCGCCATTTTCTGTTTGGTTGTTGTTGGTTTCGCGCTTGCAGTCACAATGGCGACCACCCTTGCCCCGTTGACTGAGACGTTTCCCGGAGGCGCCCGGGTTGTTCGTTATTGAACGAGGCCATGTTTTCGTGTTGAGGTTGTCGTCACGAAACATGCGGCGCTAACGCCGAAGAAATGCTATCGTCATTGTAGCGAGCAGCGTTGGCGTTCTCCATCGCGCGCACCCAACGTGTGCATTCTTCGTTCTGGAGCCCGCGGATGTTGCGCGCACAGTCCTGGCATTTGTCGTACGGAATGCACTGTCGCGTCCCTCACAACCAGCGCCAGGAGCGCGAGCTCAACATCTATGGCCTCCATGGTGGATCATGTGCATGTTGTGTGCACGGGATGGAGATGACAGAAGCTCTTCCAGGATTGACTCCATAGGCTCTTCGGGGAGGGAGGCTCAAGTCCTGTGGCGAGAACACGAACACGGAACGATGACCCCCTCCTCTTTATGAAAACCATCCCTCTCACTGCATGCCACGTGGACGGCGGACATCCTTCGCACTGTGGCCGCCCACGCGACGCTTAATACCTACACTGGTCGCGCGCAACCCATGTGGCACCCGCTTGTCGCTCACCAACACCGCCGCGACTACTGCCCGTCCTTGCTGGCGCAGTTGTGATAACCAACGTGTAATCTGTTTCATGAGAACAACAAACGTGCGAGGGAAGTGTTTCGAGGGGGTTTCGTGTTCTGCTGGGAATAGGCGATTTCGTGTTTGCCACAACCATGCGGAAGTGTATTGCAATGTTCACTATGGTAACCACGCGGGAATGTTTTGCAATGTTGGGCTTGGGACACGTGGAACGAATGAGAGAATAGCAGAATGGGACACGTGGAACAAATGACACAGAAGCAGATTGGGACATGGGAACCGTGTGGCCCGATGTCTTCGTCATCCGTTCCCGCCGTCCCCGCCACTTGCGGCACGCGGCACGAAATGATGATAATGATGATGATGGTGATGACGACGTTGATGTTGATGTTGATGCTATTGACGATGTTCATCATGATGACGATGTTGGTGATGATTACGGTGGTGATGTTGATATGGACGACGATGGTGCTGATGATGATGACGAACATCATCAACATCATCAGCGGCATCGTCGCCGTCGTAAAAAGCACCACCATCCTCGCCTTCGTCATCGTCGTCATCATCGTCATCATCAACAGCATCATCATCATCATCATCGTTATCATCGTCGTCATCATCTTCGTCATCATCATCATCATCATCATCATCATCATCATCGTCGTCGTCATTATCTTCGTCATCATCATCATTATCATCAACATCATCGTCGTCATCGTCGTCATCAACACGACGATGACGACGATGATGTCGATGATGATGATGATGATGACGAAGATGATGACGATGACGATGACGATGATGATGATGATGATGATGTTGATGATGATGATGAAGATGATGACGACGATGATAATGATGATGATGATGCTGTTGATGATGACGATGATGACAAAGGCGACGATGGTGGTGATTTTTATGACGGCGACGATGCCGCTGATGATGTTGATGATGTTGATGATGTTGACGACGTAGACGATGTTGATGATGATGTTGTTGTTGATGATGATGATGATGATGATGATGATGATGATGATGATGATGATGATGCTAATGATGATGATGTTGATGATGATGATGATTATGATGATGATGATGATGACGATGATGATGGTGGTGATGATGGTGGTGATGATGATGGCGATGATGATGATGATGACGATGATGATGGTGGTGATGATGATGGTGATGATGATGGCGATGATGATGATGATGATGGCAAGCAAGAATCATGGGCCACCTCGCGAGGAAAGAACAAGCGGGAATCAAAGGGGCATACAGAAACCATGTGGCCCAATGTCAGCGACATCCGTTCCCGCCGTCCCGGCAACTTCAAACAGGCGGCGCGACGCGGCTGCTCCCATGCGCCTGCAAACATACCCGACGACCGACACGTGGGCAGGCAGAACATCACTTTACCTTGACGAGGGGACAACGCCCACGACGACGCAGCTCTTTGAAAGGTCACAGTTCTTCGATGAGCTGCAGCTCTTCGACGACGGCAAAGCACACATGACGGCGCAACCGTTCGACAAGGGCTCAGCGCATACGACGGTGGCCACTTGCTGACGCAGGACGCAGAGACGAGATGTCGAAGCGCAGGCAACAGGAGTCCATCACCGGTCAGAAGGACGGAAAACAGTTGGCGTCGAGAGGAAACCCATACACCCTCGCCGGCAGCCGCATGGCGCAATAGCGGAGAAGCGAAGGCGATGGAGGATGTCGCTGATGGGACGTCGCGCGCGAATGCGCTCGTTAGGCTGGAGATGCGAATGGGCTGCACCGGACCCCAGACAACTGAGCCTCAGACTATCGTCGCACCCCATGGAAAGACCCACCTGTGTCCCCTCACGAGGCCACAGACCCCGATCGCCAGCCAGGAGACTCGAATGGCCGCGAACCCCTCCAACCTCCCCTTTCCAATAACCCCCCCCCCCCCCCCCCCCCTCCCCCCCTACCCCCGCGCTCCCGCGCTGACGGACCGGAAAGTACAAACTGCCCCCCCGCGAACTTCTTGATTTTCCCTATACGTTGGCGGCCGCAACTCCTTACTGTGCGCCGTCTGCCGCATAAATGGCGCTTGATCCCCGACACTCTGCCTCTCCGCCTCTAGCACTATTGAAATTCGGATCCCGGCAAACTACCCATTCTAGTCGTTCCGAAGTTGGGTTCCGAGGTGTCTTTCCGTGCGGATTTCGCTGCGCAAGAGCCTGCGTTGCCATGTGCCGACGACTGTTCTGTTCTTGATGTGTTTTTCCAAACGTTGACTGCATGGTGCGTGGTGTGATTTGGGTTGTTGTTCACAGACATGATGTCTTCTTCAAAGGGCGAGGTGGAGCCAACGGGGACATACGAGATCCAATGTCTCTTCTTGCGTGGACTCATTAAAGTCAGGCCTTCGGCTTTGCCCACTTCGTGTCCTAAGGTTGCCTGGAAGTCCACGGGGGAAACTGGTCACTTGATCCAGTGAAACCCCGCCAAATATGTAAGAGAACTCAAAGCAAGTAGAGTTAGTGAGTCGTGTAATGGACAACTATTTCGCATGGTTCGGAGGGCACTTCAGTAAGTCTGTGCAAATCAGATTGAAGTTTTGACCCCTATCCCTTTTGATGATGCCAGAAGTCGTTCCACCTCCGGGAAGACATCCGAAAAAGATTCCACGAGGGGGTCGTCTACTGCCACGAAAGGGTGGTCGAACCATTCGAAGTCGAAATGGTTCATCGACTGGTGCTGTGGAGACGCTTCCAACCCCACTGCGCAGATGACGGCAGAAGGCGTCAAGTGCTTGGGGCCGTCTTCGGGTGGGAGGACGCGAAGGGGGGGCGGCGACATTTCCGTATGGAAAAGGTTTATGGCTCCAAGGGCAACGTCGTTGCCAATTCGAAAGGGGTGTTGTTGGACCTCGAATTGTGTGATGGGTTCGGAGCGGGTGCTGTGGACACCCCGTTCTACAGAGAACTCGTTCTCGTGGGTGGTTTTGTTTTGGAGCGTGAGTTTTTCGACAAGCTGGAGGACAAGAACATCGTTCTCGACGCCCCCTGCGACGTCGGCCCCTCCCTGGAGCTCTCGTTGCCATTCAGGCCATGTGGCAGTTGCGAGTCAAGCGGGGCGGCGGCGAAGGGCGGTGATCTGGGTTCTGGTCCGGCTACTCAGTTGCACCGTGGCGAGAGTCGGGGACAGTTCGACGACAACGAGGACGAGGGGCCTGCAGCGCCATTGAGGGACAGGCGGCGGTCTGTGTTGTCTATTCCAGGGGTCGACATTGGCGATCCGATTCAATGGGAGAGTGCGGAACCGACAGGAAAGGTGGCAGCCTCTTCGGAGGTCGACTTGGGGGCGAGCGAGGACCAGAGTGTGGATGAGGTGACCGTGGGCGGCTTGGGCACGCAAGGCACTTCGCAAAAGAGGAGAGGGGATCGCACAGAAGAGTTCGTCGGTTCTGCGAAGAAGCTGAAGAGCAAGGCCCCCAGGACTGCGGGAGAGAAACGAAAGGGGACCGAGGAAGAGGAGGGCCGGCAGGTTGCCAAACGGCCGGCTTCGAGACAAAAGCAGCCTGCGTCTGGAACGTCTTTTCCACCGACGGAAAGGCCTCCAATCGACGTCGACGCCAGGTACTTCCTCGAGTACAAAGAGGGAGGACTGTACAACCAGCGGTCCCGGGATCCCGTGCTCGTGGAAGGGATCAAAGAAGCGATGCGGTTGGCGTTCGAAAACAAAGCGTAGTCTTACGATTTGCCTAATCTGAAGCTGGCACCGGTGGGGCTTGATAAACCGACTCCAGGGACCAAGGCAGAACGTCTGAGGCCGGAAGAATGGAGGGATGAGCTGGCGGGGCAATACTACTACTACGCGGTGTGTGGGCAGCACAACGCGGCTGCAGCGAGGTGGCCAGGAAATACAATTTCGAGCGGTGACCTGCACGAATGCTCTACTTTTAGGACGACGACTTCGAAGGGTACTTCCTTGTCAGTTCCTAGGACAACAAGAAGGACCTGAAGGCGCCCCCGAGACAGCTGAAGCTGTCAATGAAAGACATTAGGTGGCAGTGGAAGCGCAACGGGTGCCCGCGTGCTGTTATGGGAAACCCCAGTGGAAAACAGGCTCAGGTCCGAAAGTGGCGTGAATTATGTGAAGTCGTGCTCAATATGACGCCGCACAACAACTTGTGGACGCTGGCAGATCAGAAGGGCGACGACGCCATCAGGAAGCAAGGCGCTGCCCTGCGTTCCTATTTCCCGCTGGCGATGGCAGGGGAGAACGTATGGAAACTGGCCGTCGACTTTTTCGATAAATGGGAGACTGATAGATTGCTCGGCCACGATGGCGCAAAGTAGATCATGCGGAAGAAGAAGGTAAAAAATGTGACGCCCGGGGTTGCCTACGTCGAGAACGACAAGACGGGCAGGAAAGAGGTCGTGTACAACGTCCCTGTGGATCCGCCGACGAAGAAAGGCAAAAAGGAGAACGAGGAGGGCGACTGGTTTGTGCAACTGCCTGAGCCAGACGCACATTGTTGGAAAGCGATGGAGTCGCTGACCGACAACGAGAAGTGTCGTGTCCTGAAGAAGGTTCTCGCTTGCGAGGTGGTTTGGGTCCAGGCCGTCTCCGCGGCGTTGGCGAAGCTCGGGAAGCTGAGCGTCCAGGACATGGTTCATTTGGTGAAGTGCGACCGGGTGCTGGTGCGTCTATAGAACTACTAACAGTTCAAGCATGAGAAGAGGCCGGACGTGGATTGGAGCCAGAGGTGCCCGTTCCTGAAAACAAGATCCGCAATTTTCAAACAGTTTGAGAGTCATGGTTTGGATGCAGAGTTGTGGGACGGGAGCACGAAATACGTCGCTGACTCCTCGTTGTTCAAGGACTGCCCGCCTTACATGGGCTGCGACGACGACCAATCCATCGAGGCGACGGAGAAGTTGGCCGGTCACAAGAAGTTGTCCGTCGACTGGAGGAATAAGTTCTTGTCCGTTTTGACTGGGAGTAGACTGAAGAGTCGCGAGATCGCGCTTGCGGAAGGAATTGTGCACATAAAATGGAAAGACACGGGCGACGTGACATCCATCGCGCCATTCGGCAACGACCCCTTGGAGGCAGACATAAGGTGTGCGGAGGTGAAAGAGGCGGTGGTTGCCACAAAGAGTCACACGTTCGTCCTCGATCTCTGCGAACCGGTTGACCTGAAGCTATGGAAACCGCAAGCGTTCGGCACTCTGGATTCCCAGCTTCAGACGTGGTGTCCATCGCATTGGACGCTCGTCGTTCTCGTCCCTCGGCAGCGGAACCTCTCGTTTCTGGCCAGCATGAACCACCTTTCTTTCATGAAGATGCTGGAAGGGAAGTGGGTGAGGAAGAGTCAACAGAAGAAAAGCTTCCCCGTCGGGAATAATTTGTACACGGAAGACGACCGGATGTACACACTCTTCAAAGGCGACGATTTGCGTGCTAACACGTCCGTCGTCTACGAGGGGAAACTGCCGCCTGCCGCCGCTGCTGCACTGCGGCTTCCGCAGAAGGTTACGCAAACGGATGTGTCCGACATCCCATTCAACCCTTGCAATTGGTTGCATGTGTCGCCTACGCGTCGGGGCAGTGTGTACGGGGACATGGAACGCAACCCCGCGCAATTCGTTAACTTCTCGAGTCCGTCACCAAGAAGGGGGAGGGTGTATGCTTCCTCGGGAAGCCACAACGCGTGATCCGTGTGGGAACTGCTGAAGGCAGGACGACACATCATCGCAATGGAAGGGAACTCCGAGCTCTTGCAATTTACAATTGATCTCGTCAAAAGCGAGGTCAATTCGGGTGCCCACATTTGCGAGTTCATGGTCGTCAACGAGTCTCGTCCTCCCGCGTGGAACAACAAGACGGACGTGTGGTTCAAGTTGAGTGCGAGAAAGCGGATCAAGATATACGACTTGTTGTTCCTGCAAACGCGGCCCAAGAGAGACACTGACGCCGAGTACGTGCGCCACAAGGATCATATGTTCACGCTGCTCGACAACTACCACGACGCCTCCCGCATGAACGCAAAGACCTTCCTTGAGAGGTTGCAGTCCCTGTACTTCGTGGAGTCAGAGGAGGAGTTGACGTTCGGCAGTTACTCCTCCTTGATCTCCATGGAAGACGAGGAGACCACCGACATGGAGTTCGACGCGACCGCGAACGAGGAGGGCAGCGACACCGAAAGCCTCGACCTGCAGTACGACCCGCATCCCGGGCAGCACACAACAGGGTCGTCCTTCGCAGGTCCGTCAACAAGCCCGACATCCCTCGCGTCACCGATGGCGAAAGCGGCACCTGGCACTCTCCCGATGAAGTTGCTGCAGATAACGCAAGCTCTGGCCTCCCGCCATCGCTCACTGCGTCCCGGGTCTGACATCCCGGCCGATCATCTGTCTTGGAAGGATGCCAACATTCACTTCCTGCCTGAGCCTCAAAGTCGTTCCACGGAGGCGGACTGGGTCCATGAGATGATTCGGCATCCAGGAGTCATCTAGCCGGAGATCCAAAAGGGTGAGTGGATCGTGGCCGTCGTTGTCCCGGACGGAGGATGGGTGCCCCTCCCTTGCGGGTCAGACCCGGGAAGGACCCAGAACGCCCGGACGGAGGAAGGACCCAGAACGC